GCCTCTGTACCACTCTCACACAGCCTCCAGCCTCACCCCTCTGTACTGCTCCCACACTGAACCTGGCAAGCAACGTACACCCTGGACAGGACCCCAGTGCACTGCAGGGCACATACAGTATTATACACAGACACACATACTCACACCAGTGAGCGTGCGACCAGTTTTCCCAGAGGCCCATTAATCTACCAGCATGTCTTTGGACTGTGGGAGGAAACCTCTATGAATACAGGGAGAACATGCAAACTCCACACAGATAGCAAATAGCAGGTCTGGAATTGAACACAGGGCCCCAGCACATTGAAGCAACAATGCTAGCTGCTGCCACACTGTGCAGTCTGTGTTTGTTTTTATTCTACATTAGATTCCACAAATCTAAGATGCACCTGAAGAGGAGTGAGAGTCACTGTGCCTCTTCCTGCCCTTCAGAGGAGCTGTGCTGCGATTTCAGTCAGACGGGCCGGAAGAGTCCAGCACTGACCTCCTAGCCCTCTGCAGCTCCTGATTCGGGTATTCAGATATTTGGGGCAGGAGCTTCTGCTTGTGCTCCCTGATGAAAAGGGGGAAACAGACTGTAGTCCCCCTTTCTCGTGATCGGTCATCTTCTAGATTCCCGGTTTGAAATCGAGCAGATTTAAGCCCTAAAACAAAACAGATGCAGAAAATCCTGCCGGTCGCCTCTGAGCTTTCGTAGGAATGCTGTTGGAAAGCGAGAGCAACTCTCAGACCTGGTGGGATGGCCTCTGCTCCCTCACTCATCTCTCTCTGAGACGAGCTCGCTCCTGCTCTGCTTTTCTGCACTGACATTTCCCAGCGAGGAAGAGCCTGTTTCCACTCTGATCTCAGGGCTCTGCAGGGAAATCCACCGGTTCCACACACAACACACAAACACCACACACAGACACACACACATCACACACACACCACACACACACATCACACACATCACATACAAACCACACACACACATCACACACACCGCACACACATCACACACATCACACACACACACATCATACACACCGCACACACATCACACATCTCACACACACACCACACACACATCACACACACATACATCTCACACACACATCATTCACATTACCACTCATTGCAGTTATCACACACACATACATCACACATCACACATCACACACATACCACACACTTCACACACCACACACACACCACACACATCACATACCACACACATCACACACCACACACATACATCACACATCACATACCACACACATACATCACACATACCTCTCTCACACGCACACATCCCATCAAGCCTCCCTCCCAGTCCAGCAGTGCTGGAAGGGTTGAAGAGGGATCCTGAGATCCGCCTCTCACCTGGTCAGAATCCGGATGAGACGAGAGATGGGAAGATCCTTCTCGGAGAGGAGGGGAGGGAGAAGGCTGGGACTCCCCGGTCAGCGCGAGCTCTCGGAGCGCAGGCGGAGGAGAAGAGAGGAGACCCGGCAGGGAGAGCAGTGGAGCCGTGCAGACTCCTGCCTGCAGGTTAAGGAAGAAGGACAAGGGGCGTGGAGAGGGAACCTGTCGGACAGGTACGCCTCCACAGGCGGCCTTAACCCTTTCCTCACCCCGACAGCCTGACGGAGGCAGGGAGAGCGCCAACATACTGCGACAGGCTGTTTTCCAGGTTTTCCAGGTTACAATTGCTAACGTGTTTTTCAATACCAGGTTCACTTTTTTTTTTTTGGACGATGACCATACACTTTCCACCTCTGTGAGGAAAGCCTCATCCACATCAATGATTCACTGGGGTGTCGGACTGGCCTCCAGCTCCATGACTCTCTAGCAGAAATCAAACCGATGAGGCTAGACAGTCAAAGCCTTACTGTGGACCTACAGTACAAGCAATAAGGCAGTGAGTGCTGTGTCCTACAGTGCCCTAGCGTTTCTGTTGAATAGACACCTTACCAGCACATACTGGTGCCTGAGCTCCTTGATACGATCACCGTTCCTCTCGGAAGGAACGGTGTACAGCTGCTTCATGCTGCTGTGGTGTTTCGTCAGGGTCCGAGCTATTGCCATGAGGCCTACACTTTGAACATTTTGCAAAACAGTGTGGTCTGCCAGCACTCTGGCCTGAATTTCTCAAAGTTTGATTGCATTGGCCCTTGGTCTTTCCTCTTCAGAACAAATCCAATTAGCAGTGGTTCTGGAGGCTAATATTCACTGGATGCATTTCAGTGTCAGCCTTTGTACAATGCATAACTTACCTGTTGGCCCGCTGGAAAGTTCTTACTATAGATGTGACAGTTGAATGGTTGAGATTTGGCTGAGCTCTTAGACCAGCCTCCCTCAATGACAGACCATGATTCATGACACGGTCTATTATGGTAGCTCTTATCTCATCAGACACAATAGCCCGTGGTCTTCCCCTGTGGCGAATGCCACCACGCTTTCGAACTCCTCTCCCTCTTCCTCTCCATCGTCCAGCCGTTGGTCTTTCACCCCCTCCTGCGGTTCTTGCTGGGTCCATGTTGAGCGAAATCATTCCAAAGATTTCCTCTTTTTCCGAGGTGGTCGTGGAATTGAAGATCTCTCAGCACCTGGGTAGGTTTTCAGCTGAGATGGGAATCAACTGTGTTTGGTCTATTTACAGAACTTCAATCAGCAGCTTGTCTCAGTAACCTTTATCAAAAAC